AGCGCCGTTCGAACACTGCGCCGCCCCGCAGCCAATGGCCGCCTCCGCTGCGTCTCCGGCGGGCGCCGCCTCTGCTCCCTCCCCTTGGCTCGGCCACCACCTCGGCAGCGGCGGCGGTGGCAACTGCTGCAGTAGTGGCTGCGGCGGCGGCTCCTCTCGGGCCAGGGCCCAGCGCCTCATCCCAGCGCAGCTCCAGCCTTCCTCTCCTCTTTCTCCCACCGCTGCCGAGGCCTCTCCCGGCTCGCTGTTGCCAGAGGAAGCAGCAGCAGCAGCAGCGACCTCTTCCTCCTCCGCCAGGGCCTCCTCTGCGGCGCCTCCTATGTAAAGAGGCGCCTCCGCCTCTCCGCCGGCTTCCTTCGCGGCCGAACAGGCCCGGCCGGCGCTGTCAGTGGAGCCCCGGCGTTGACGCTTCACAGCTGGCTCCGGGCTCTCCGAGGCGCCTGACACAGCGCCGCCGCCGCCGCTGCTGCCGCGGCCGCCGCTCCGGCACTGGAGGAGCGGCGTCTCCCCGTCCGCCATCTTGGAGAAGGAGCAACTACTCCCTCCCTCTCTCTCCGCCCGCTCGCTCGCTCTCACCCCCCACCTTTCCCCGTAGACGGAAAAGACAGTCCCCCCCCCGCACCTCTCGCTCTCACACACAGAGATTTAAACACGTCACGTGACCCCGTCGACGCCCACGCGGGCAGCCGCCCAGCGTAGGGCCGCAACAACAACAAACTGGATCACGTGACGCCGAGCAGGCGCGGGCGGGGGAGGTGAAATGACGAGGCGGCTAAGTTGCGGAGTCCGCAGTCACGTGACCCCCCCCCGGAATTTTTCTGACGTGCCCACCTTTATATATTAAAAAAAGATTAATTCACCTATATTTTGTCGACTCTTTTATAATAAAACTTGAAACTAAAAATACCGTAACGAATTCCTTTGGATTCTAACGTAACTTATGGAGTGCGGGGTGGGGGGGGAGGAATCCCTTGGAATTCAGTGGGATTTATTTCTGAGTGAATATGGATAGGGAGAAGATCGTTATATGCTTTTGTAGTGTTTGGTGTGTTCCCTCCCCCCCCCCAAAAAAAAATGAATAAAAGCGAAAGGATAATAAACAAAAGAACTGAGGGAGGAAAGAGGAAAGGCGCTGACGCAGCAACTCGTTGAAGGAGCAGCAAAGGCTGGATGGGCGAGCAGCTCCCGGGTTCTGCTCTGCCTGGGCAAAGACTGTAAAGAACGGAAAGGGCGCTAGTGGGCCGGGAGTCGCAACAAGCTCTGGAAAGGGGTCGTGAGGGGAGGAGCCTTAAGAGGCAGCAGAAGGCCGCCGCCTTCGGCAGAATGAAATACTACACACATTAAAGCAGTTAAAGGTGGGATTTAATAATGCACTCATTAAAATAAGCATCAGCTTGTAGATTGGAAACACTCCCACTGAAATGCTTACCTGTTTTAAATACTTTAAAGCTTTACATTTCATGCAAATGTAAAGCAAAGCTGCAAAGTTTAAGCGCCACAACGCTATACATAAAAGCAGATAAAAATAGGTAGGTAACTAATTCAGCATCCTGTGCGAGTCATCTACAGATATACACGACGCCAAATAAATTGGGGCAGGCTTCAGAAGGAACGTGTTTAGGAATGCAAGTGATTTTTCATGCTGTTCTGGGTTTCCTTTTGCTTTTTAAGTAAGGTTCATAGCTCCTGTTTTGGCATCTCTATAAATATAAATCTGTAATCAAGACAGAGTGCTGTAGAAATTAACCTCTTTTTTCCACTCTTAAACATACTTTTCAGGTCAAATTTGTTTGTAAAGGAGACAAAGGAAAGCACCCTTGTAGGGAAAGCACCCACAAGTCAATTCAGGTTAAGAGCCTGATGTATTTGCTGGTATTGTAAACACATTTTCCATACTTGTGGACATAGCAATTCATTTCAATGCATCATTTACCTGTTTTTCAGGTTTGTTTTTTTAAAATGGTTTCATAAAGATTATGGTATAGCTATAGTCACATTGGGTGCTTTCCAAAGGACTCATACACTCACTAAAATTCCCTTAGGGTATGTCTGTGCCAGCTGTTTTTCACTTGATTTGTTCCTGAATTTGGTGTATAAATAACCTATCTTTTTCACTTCTAGCAGGACCTCAGTAAATAGATATCTGTCACCTTAATATATTACACAGACATCTCAACATACTCTTCAATGCAGATGCTGTATTTTCGTTCTTTCCCAAATAATCAGAATTCCAGCATAATCCTAACCCAAGATCTGTCAGGGTAAGAGAGTTTGGATTTGGTGGGCTTGGGGGGTCTCTTGGCTCAGCCACGGCTGAGCTGGTTATATGCTGGAGCAAGTACAGTGGTACCTCGGGTTACATACGTTTTAGGTTACAAACTCTGCTAACCCAGAAATAGTACCTCGGGCTAAGAACTTTGCTTCAGGATGAGAACAGAAATTGTGCTCCGGCAGCGCGGTAGCAGCAGGAGGCCCCATTAGCTAAAGTGGTCTTCAGGTTAAGAACAGTTTCAGGTTAAGTATGGACCTCTGGAATGAATTAAGTACTTAACCCGAGGTACCACTGTACTTCACCCCAGCACAGCCAATGTGGAATGCAAGTTCCCCAAAAGGGATGTTCTGGGAGCCCCCATATGCAGGAGCATGACAGGATAAAAACCTGTCACAAAGGGTGTCATAAGGCAAATTCCTCTGAATTCACCCTGAACAGAGTTTGCCACTAGTAACCTAAATTGGTGTAACTTGCATTACTTTCTATAGTTAATATTGCTCTGTAACTTGCTTCTCAATTTCTACCTATTCACCCATCCCTATGCTTAGATATACCTCATTCTCTCCCCTCCCTTTTCTTCTTGGTTAGTTTAGAATTGCATTCAGACAAAGGTGTTGGGTTGGGGGGGGGTTGGTCTTCTTTATTTGTTTCCATTCTTGAAGGTTAACATTCAAATAAGCTAAATCATTTCTAGGCACAATGTAAACAATTATGCTGCGATTCTTTTCACAGGAATACCAATTGTTTCAATATTGCATGTACTTTTTATAAAGAGCAAAACTATGTTTCTTTTTCTTATGACTGAAATTTGCAAGTGTTACAATGGTTCAGTGACTAATGTTGCAATCCTGAACATACTTGCATAAGAGTGAGCTCCACTGAATGCAATGAGACTTCGAAATAAACATGCATGGTTCAGATGGTATTCTTACTGGGGGACGTGCACCTTACTCCCAGTAAATATGTGAAGGATCGCACTGCGCAAGGCAGCTAAGATCCTCAATAAATAGTATTCATTAACATATTTTTTAAAACTTTGAAAAGAAAACAGAGAACTAATAACTGTTTCAATGGGACTCATTGGGGGCCATAGAATGAAAAGGCTGGAGAGGAACCTTAGTGCCATCTAGTCCTCTGGAAAAGAGGTGGGAAGCAGTATTCTGTTCCCACAGAGACCAAACAGATGCCTATGGAGCACCCCCCTCTCCTGCAGGACATGAGCAGAAAAGCTCTTCCTGGTACTCATAGACATTATTTCCCTGATACTGGAGACAGCACACAGCCATCATGACGAGTAGCAGTATCTTCCACCAATTTGTCTAATCCAGTTTTAAAGCCATCCAAATTGGTAGCAACACCTTGTGGTAGCAAATTGCATAGGTTGATTATGTCCTGTGGGAAGAACTGCAACTTCGTCCTCTACAAGAATTTGAAGGGTTTCCTCTGTTGTAAATGTGGTGCTTTTGAATGGTAGGGACTCCATCCTGTTCTGCTTCTTTGATGATCCACACTATAGCTGGTGACCAGTATGAGACACCTGTATACTGTTTTTCTGTATATAGGGTTCAGTGCATAAATATTTGCCCAAGGCCTTGTGATTAACTGTGGGACAGTTATTTTGGTACATGATGAACTAAATCAATGAAGCATTTTCCAACAAGCTGGCTGAACTGGTGCTATTATACTATAACTGGTGATAGATATTAATGACAGCTATTAATTGCAGTGTATGGCTTTCAGTGAGAGTAAACTCCACCTTCTAATTCTTCTTTCAAATCAATACAGAAATCTAGGCCATTCAGTGATGTTACCTTGCCCACTGCAAACTAGACTAAAGTTAGGTTGGTCTGTTCCTTATTACTGTATTTGTGGATGTTACTCTGTAAACCAGAACTTTAAGCACAGGAGGTTTTTTAAAAAAATAAATGAAGCTGGGGAAAACATAATACCCACATCTGTCAGAACTTCAAATATTAGATTTCATCATCCTGCACGTCATGCTAGTACTCTCACTTGTAAAAAGATTGGGCAAACAGACTTGTACACAGTGTTTTGCAACTACATAGGCAAACTAATGGCAAGAATCCATTTAGATGTTGGCACTTATTCCTCGCTGTTATTTGTTGCATCATCTTTTAAATTGCGTTATGTGCCCTTTATAAATTCTTTTTAAATATATAGTTCTAAATTGTCTGGATTTGATTTTCTTATTCTCACAAGTGAGAAGGAACATACTTTGTAGCTCCATTAAATAACTGTTATAATACCTATTAAAACAAATAAATGTGAACGAATCGCAACAATGCCTTATCAAATCAAATTTAATCAGGAATTACAGTTTATATCAAAACTGTTAATTTCCAAAACTAAGATTATGGCAAAAAATATTTCTTATGCTCTGAAACTTCCCTCTTTATTTATTTTAAAAATTCCTATCATGCCTAGTTTTCCAAAGAAACTCAAGGTGGCTAACAAATCAGCAGCAAAACAATATAAAACAAACAACCCCCAATTAAGCACATACCCGCGGCCAAAATATTAAACTAAAAGCAATTTTAACTGTTTCAAAACAACCATTAAAAAGTTAAGCTCTTTACAGGTGGAAACATGAATCATAAAGCTGGATTCCCCCCCCCCTGTAAACTACAAATCCCAGAGAGCTTTGCAATTGTAAACTGTGATCAGAATTCGCTTCCACCAATAAGAGTAGGCTCATTCGAGGGTGTGCTTACAGAGTCTCGGGTGACATCTCAGTGTATAAAACCATCTGTAGAGAAGCTTCAGCATCACTGCACCTATCGGTTTCTCTCTAATCACTTTAAATAGCTCTGAACTGGTTAAAAGACGCATTTAAGCTTTTTGTGTCTCTGTTTTCAGAAAGTGGGAAAGTGCTTGCCAGATTGAAGCAGATGGATGCAATTTTGAACTGCAGGCTGGAGGACATGGAAGATTTTTACAGCTTGCTAGGCTGTGATGAATTGTCTACAGTAAGACTAGTTAATTATGATTTTACTATTCTCCTCCTTAGTTCATTGCAATTTTTAAAAAGATGTTCTTTCTTTGTTAATTGGTTTGATTTGGTGTATTATGTGCTGTTTCTGTTCTTCTCTAATTTCCCCATGTTTTCTGTACATATTTTTAGCAGTTGATCTGTTTTTCTCCCCCAGTTCAGTTTTTTTGACCTATGCAACATTAAGCTGTTGAACACAATTAACTGTTCACACAGCTTTGTTTCAATAGAATAGTTTGAATTTTTTCATTTTGCAGTGAAGGAATACAATTATCGGAACAGCACTTGAATAACCTTTTAATTGGTATATGCCTAAGGAATTATCTGCATTCTCTAGTTGTCCTGTGTTAACTTAAATAGTCCAGTTAATATCCAAAGCCTCAGTAGATTATGTTTGAGGTTACAGTGGCACAGAATGTAGTTACAGTTGTCCTGTTTAAAAAGATCTATGTTGACGTAATCCTTGCTGACTTTGAAAAGATAATATCCCTTCTCACAGTAAATAAAAACTTACCGTGCGTGTGCACATTTTGGGCTTGTGGATTTCACTTGCATTTTACTAGAACTTAGAGATCCACCAAGCAAAGCGAGGTGAAAAAATCACAGACTAAAATAATGCTGAGCCCAGAAATTTGCTTTGAGTACCAGAGAGGAACGGAACTGTTTCAGGCAAAAATCCACTCTGTTACCGCAAACTTTTTTCACCTAAGTAGTTGAAGAAGGAAGAGGAGAGATAATTTTCTTGCTGCTGTTGTTAAACAAGTTGGGAGTTGCAAATCCTTTATGATCTGCAAACCACCAAGAGATCCACCAGTAGATTCAGATCTGCCTTCTGCCCACCCGCTAAAGGTTTGCTGAGATGGCTTCCAGCAAGGGGCCACTAGATTTTGCCTGCGTGAAAAGTCAGTGTGGTTGATTTTTGTAATGAAAAGCTGTGTCAATGGGATAGTCATTTTGAACCACAACAAGTGGGTAGCATCCTAAGTGAAGTAAACAGAAATAACATTTTATGAAAAAGCTGTCTGCTGGCTTTGAAAGCTGATCCACTGCACAAAAGTGATTTATGTTAGGGAGACAGAGATGTTTCACATTACAAACCATGAGCAGTAGACACAAGAGATTGCTGACAGCCATGGTATTGTGTGAGTCTGCCATTTTCAACAGAACCTATGTATGTTTTAGAATTAAAGAAATCTAGATATATGGAAAATGTTTTGCACTCAAACAGCTTTGGGATTAATTTACCATATTTACACATATAGTGGACTGCTCCCGTATATCCCAACATGGGTGGAGACTATTTCCAAGGAAATCTGACCTTGACTTCCATGGATCTTCTGTGGAATAAATGGTGCATGAACACATGCATAGACTATTTTGCTGTGTACTGAGGCTCTAGTGTCAACCTATAGCAAAAGAAGAGTTGCTTGACGCAGGTATTTGTAAGGGAAAACAAATATATTCCCATATGCACTGCTGCCTGTATCAGGTAAAGATGGTGTAAGTGGCTGTTTCACTGTGAATACCAATTGCCAGTTTAGTAAATCTTACATTCAGTAAAATGGATAATACAAATCCATGAGTTTTACACATGGTGCTACACACATACTTGTGTAAGAAGCAAGTCATATATGAAGCTTCCATAGGTATATTTTTCGTAAGAAAACAAGTCCCATCCATTCTTCAATTGTTTGTCTAGGTTGAACAAATTCTTTCAGAATTTAAGGTTCGAGCCCTCGAATGTCATCCTGACAAGCATCCTGGAAACCCTCAAGCTGGTATGTGGTTTTTCCTTTTCTCTCTCAAAATGAAACAGGTGACGTTACAAAGAACAGTGGATTCAGGATTTTGAGAGCCGTTGGCCAAACACACCCTAACCCTGACAAAGGAGTGGGGTGCAAATCAAAAATTCCAAAACATGCTCCCTTTCCTGCCATCTTCTGAAAGGTGAGACTGGTCAGCCTGCCGTGGAAGTTCACCCTCAGGCTCTACAAATATCTGGGCCCTAGCAAATGCGCAGCCTTGTCACTTGCTGGCATTGGCTACAATAGAAGAAGGCACAAGTATCCTCAATTTCCTGCCTAATACTTTGCCCTATTTATATATATGCAGCACACTTTGTTTTATTTTTATTTGTGTGGCACACTTCCTTTTCAGCAGCAAGTTGAACTATATTGCCCTAATGCTTATACAAACATTGATTCTGGAGGAAAATCATAGCTACTCTATTCTTTAGTGCAGTTGTTTGGCAACGTAGGTTTAATAGGGTGGCTTACAAAATCAAATGCTTCACTTCCCTTTTTTGAAACAAATCCAGCTTTTTTTCTCCAAATGATCTACAGCTAAAGAAAACCATTAAGCAAACAGATGCGGCTTTATGAAGTTGCAACCTGTTAACATGTGCACTTATGTTTTGAACAAGAAATAGTTATAAGAGACTATGCAAACTCAGGGTGTTTAATATTGTATAGATTTATTTGCATTTCAATAATTTTTTACACATTTTAGGTTTTATCCAATGTTAATCCTACACATAGTGGACCCATTGAAGTTGTAGATGTGACTCATTTAGACTCATTAATTCCAAGGGGTCTAAGCTCAGTAGGACTTAGTTGGATATAACCCTTTGTTTTAAATATTAAAATTATATTTGGCAGTGCATTGTTTCTGGACCTGTGCAGAGTAATAACTTGGGAATAACTAAAATGTGGAAAGGGGGTAATGGGATTGTGTTTGTGTTAAATGTGGTTAACCCCTTTCATGCCCACTGTTTATCCACACCAAATTGTCCCCAAGTGAAACATATTTTGAACCTCATGAAGGAAATGTTGCCAGAAGGGATTTTTTTGGAGTAAAAATAAGGTAGAGTACCTGCCTTCCCACTTAATCACTCCAAATCTCTTTCCAAAGAGATTTTCTAAAATGGTGTTGGGTCACTGCTAACACACATTTCCATGTAATATGTAGTTAAAAAATCGGGCAAATGACAAAATTGTATATTATGCAAATAAGAATGAGGAGTAGTAGGTTTTCCACATACAAAAAAAATCATATTTATGGGTCTAGTGAATGTATATTTATTTTTCATATGATTTACGTCATGACTAGATGTTAAAATACTAACTGCCTTGTCCCTTTTATCTAAATTGCTTCCTGTAGAAGAATTATCAGCTTGCCAATCAGGGGTGGGGGAGAAACATAACTGGAAAACTAAACTGTATGACGTTTTGTTTGTGTTTGCCAGTCCCTGTTAGCATTTTAATTCAGTGCCTTTCAAAAGATCTATCTAGTATAGTAAACTGGCATAAATGAATATAATAATAACGATCATATAATAGAAAGGTGACTCATAGATAAAATATAAATCTCCATAACCTTTACACAGATGGTTACTAAGGATGTGGACTTGTGTTTCTATTATAGTATGGAAACTTTTATATCCACTGGAAAAAATGAGGTCACCCTAATACGATCGGGAAGTTTTTGTTTTGTAGTAGACCTAATATGTGCATATCACTGCTCCCATGATGTCTTGGAACTATTTGTTCTGTTTCTTGTATATACCTGGTTGCCTTTGATGACTAATTCTTTTTTAGTCATCGTGATTGCATTTGAAATATTCAAAATCAAACTAAGGGTTCCTCCAGGTGACCTATTTATTGGGTATTCATCCTGATTTGCTTGTGCAATGCTTTTGTGGAGGGTTAGACTATATTTATTGAGCATTTGTTCTTATTTGCTTTTGGGGTGTTTGAACACTTTCCTATAATCATTCCACACCTGTCAATATATGTCTCCTGTCACTTCCCAAACTGCAATAAGTCTGATTTTTTTAAAAAAGAATAAGTGAATTTGTCATGCTAAGGAGACAGCGTGCTTTAATAATTTTTAACTGTACAGTACAAACCTACATTTTTATAATGCACTTGAATCCCTTCTGCAAAATATTGACAGTGGATATATCTTTCACACTGGCTGATCTCCAACAAAGGATTATTGTTATTATTATTGGAATTAATTTATTTATTGCCTTCTAAATCACTGACTGAAAGTCATTTACACACAAAATAATTAAAAGCAGAAAAAGCAACACATACATTTCAGTAAAAATTTCATAAAATTTTCTTCTGTCTCTGATTTGTAGTGGAGAATTTTCAGAAGCTACAGCATGCTAAAGAAATCCTCACCAATGAAGAGAGCCGATCTCGCTATGATTACTGGCGGAGAAGCAAGATTACCATCCCGTTCCAGCAGTGGGAGGCTCTGAGCAACTCAGTCAAAACTGTTAGTTTTGGTTTATGCATCTATAATTATTGGGGAATAGAAAGAAAGAGGCCATTCTGTGGGTGGGGAAGTTCTCTGCTAGCTAGCATTGTTCAGCAAGGGGAATGGGAACCAGTGAGGATACCATTCATCCTTGAGCAAGCATGTGTAGCTGTTTTACAACTCACAAATGCCACTGATTTGTTTGTTTTTTGTCTAGTCAATGCACTGGGCTGTCAGAGGCAAAAAAGAGCCAATGCTGGAAGCTCCCGATTTAAATCTTAATGATAAGATGGCTGACAATTTCCCCCAGAAATCTGAAAACAACAATCATGAACTGTTGGATGACCAAAAGGGGCTAGAAGACTTTGACCCCACTACTGGGAAGCTGCTGTCACCAAAGAGCCCTGATTCCCCAGGTAAATAGTTTGCGGTACCAGTGCTAGACACAGAAAAAAATCCAGATAATTGGGGCTGGCACCAGATAAGTGAAATATGCAGCCTTCTTTTATTCTCAGGAGTGGGGTTTGTCCTCATGTGGGTTTGCATGAATATCAGGTATACTTCTTGGTGTACCTGACCCCTTCAAGCTGCATGGCACCTGTGCACAGCTCATTTGAATCTCCTACATAGCCCACCCAAGAATTTGTAGGGTGTTCAGATGGTGTAGTCCATATAGGGCATCATGCTGCACATGTCTTTCTGAGTGCTGCGCTTCATACCTCTCATGTTTCAGCTGGGGCTAGTTCACATGTGCATGAGTGTCCCTTGAAGACTGCAGGATCCAGTGCTAACGTGGTGTGTGAGTGTGAGATTGCAGGTCAAACATCACAGATGGAGCTTCCCTATCATCTCAAACACAGTGTAGCAGGCCACACATTCAGATGGAATTTTCAGATGATTTTGAAGAAGGGCAGAATAGCTTTTGTTAACAGTACAGTAACAAATGCTGAGAAATCAAGTGATGTGCATGCGTAGATGAACTAGGTGCAGAATAGGAAGGGCAGAAAACTTCCTCAAACCTTTATCTCTGAAGGACAGCTGGTGGGAGAGATAAAGTACCATAAAGATTGGGGATACTAATCCTAGGGAGAGTGGGAGCCAGTGCTGCTGATTTACTGGCCCAAAATATATGTATGGACAAAGAAACCCAACAATTTGGCTCCTTAAACCTCAAAGTGGCTTTACTATGCAGGTTCTCTTTGGGATACATTGCGATGCTGGTTTCTTATTATTGTGTGTGTGCGCATGGTACTGAGCCAACCCAGGACTAGGTTTAGTTGTGTGCACAGCTTGAATGCACCCCCCTCCACCAAGTTACCTAAGCTTCATCTACAGTTTTTGGCCTTTCCTAAATGAATGGATAAGCAAGGAGTTGGTGGTTTTTTGTATTAAAGGAGTTTTACTTTATAAACCCAAAGTACCATTTCCTCTCTACTAGCTGATTCTTCTCTCTCTCTCTCTCTCTCTCTCTCTCTCTCTCTCTCTCTCTCTCAATTTCCCCCACCCCCTTACAGGATTTTCTGATCCAAACTGTTGGCATTTGCGCTTTCGTTGGTCTGGTGACACCCCATCTGAACTCTTGCGGAAGTTTAGAAACTATGAAATATGAAGCAGAAGACCAAATACCATGCAGAAGACCAAATATATGTTGAACACCGTGTTCACCATTTCAGTATTTTGCATATGTTCATAAAGGAGTGTCTTTGAATATTATTTAACTAGGTAGTTTTGTACTATTGATGCCACAATTTCCCATGCAAAATACCATGTATAGTTTGCTTGGGTTTTTGTTTCTTTTAATGTTGGCAGGTACTTTCCTTTTATTCACTATTAGCATAAGTAATATGTGAATATAGTTAACCGCTTTTTCCAACATTCATACTTAATGTATATGTAAGCTGTTTCCTATCATTATTGAACAGTTGGGAGAAGCACATGTTACTCAACGTCCTTGATCCCTTATATCTTTCTGCCCTTATTTCCTGCTATATTCCTTCAAACAGCCTTTAGCCCTTTAACTCTACCACACTCAGCCAACCAAAGGTATCCTGTATTCTTCCTATTTTCTCTTGCCACCAGCCACTGATACCCGGTTCCCTCTCTCTCCCAATTAACTTTCTCATGCTACCACTCGGTATCATTTCAAAACCCACCTTTCCTGGGATATAACCCTTTGAGTCTTTATCCCCCACATAAAAACAGCATCTACTCATATTTAGTTCTTGTTGTCCTATTGTCTGAGGGACAAACTACATGTTAATTTGGATAACCTAACATAGAATAATAGAATTGTAGAGTTGCAAGGGAGCTCAAGGGTCATCTAGTCCAACCCACTGCAATGCAGGAATCTTTATGCCTGGTGTGGCCATAAATCTTCATGCTCGAACCCACAATCCTGAGATTAAGAGTCTCATACTCTATCGACAGAGCTATCTTTAAATTTTTCTTTTTATAAAAGTAGTTTCAGGACCCCGCCCCCCATGTTTGCTATGGTGCATCGGGAAGGGTTCTAATATTTTCTTGCTTGCTTGCTTGCGCGCTCTCTCACTCACTCACTCACACACACAACACACACACACACACACACACACACACACTATGTTGAGATCTTCAATGTAACACATATTTTCCTTTCCCTCATTTGCTTCCTCGTTGCCAAAATTTAGAACGGAAGTTTGTTGTGGCTGTTACCTGCCTTTTTCTTCCTTCCTTCCTGTTTTGCTTGTAATACTCTGTAAACATCATGTACAGTACATTGATGGCACTACAGTATATAAATAAATAATAATATTATAATAACATAATTGTAACTCATAGTTAACAGTTGAAGACTGATCTGTCTTATATGCAGCTATATGTTATTTCTCAGATGTTTTGTTCTTGCTCTTCCGTGGACTCAAATGTAGTATAGCAGGCATCCCCGACTCGGACCTCCAGATGTTTTGGGACTACAACTCCCTAGCTAACAGGACCAGTTGTCAGGGATGATGGGAACTGTAGTCCCAAAACATCTGGTGGGCTGAGTTTGGGGGTGCCTGTAGTAAAGTATTCTGTGCTCACCTTCCTCTCTACAATGTTCACTGAAATCGTTCAACCGGCAGTGCAGGCAGCTTGTCAGTTTGTGTCCGTTAGATGATAAGAACTATACTTTCCTGTTTGACTTCTCCTCTCATGCACCTTGAGAAAGTAGTATGAGAACCTTGGCATCCAGAATGGCAGGATCCTGGTTCCTTTTCTCAGACAAAGATGGTGTTGGCTCTTGTTAAGGTGGCTTGAGCCATGTTTAGCATGGTTGCCACTAGTTTCAGTATCTTTGGCACACTGCACCACTGCTGCGTTAATACTTTCGGTGGCACTATCCTTCGGCTAAGATACTGAAGGGATATTAACTTTCTGCTAATAACGGTGTAAATAAATATTACAGGTGGGCACCCTTCCTTGCACCAGAAGCTCTGCTTTGGGAATTTCTACCAGACACAACATCAACATGTTAAGCACTTATTTGAAGCTGTAAGCACCAGACCCTTGCTTTAAAAAGAAAGACCTGTGCCTGGTACCAATCTTTTGGGATGCAGAAAGCAAAGCTATTTGTATATGTGAGTTTAGCATGGCACCGGCCCATTGTCAGTCATTTAAAATTTCAGCTTGAAATGGTTTTGTGTGCCTGAACCATAGCCTATTGTATATTATTAAAACTGTATTGACATCTTGCATCGAACACAAAAGGTGATGTGTAGTCTGATCTGTTTCTTTTCTTGTATGTTCTGTTGCCTTTATATTAATAAATTATTTTGAAGTTGAGTATAAAAGTTGCCTATTCCTTTTTGTTTTATTTTTCCCCTTCTCTCTGTTTAACCATTTGAGTAAATCACAAGACTGAGAAGTACTGTGGGAAAGCAGACAATTCTACAGGAAAAAATATCATATAGTCAGGGAGCATTTTCCAAGTTTTGAGGATATTTTAGATCTATTTGTTTGAGCGGCTAAAGAAATTATTTTTCTAGTATCTCCAGAAACCAAATCGGTCTCTGCCTGGGTGATTCACTTTAGCTGGGATCAAGAAAATGGAGCAACTCCTCTATTATGAAAGGTTGGAACTGGCATGACAGAGGTGTATAAAATTGGGCATGATGGAATAAGTGAATAAAGAGGGTTCCCTTTCTCTCGCCCTCCTCTGATAATACTAAAACCCACAGCCATCCAATGAAGCTGCTTGTTGGAAGATTCAGAACAGACAAAAGGAATTGCCTATCACAAGATGTGGTAATAGTCACCAACTCGGATGACAGTGGGCGAATAAAATCATATAGGAAGATTTGTTCAGTGAAATAACCCAGTCCCAGACCATACTGTTATGAGCTTGGGGTGCCAGCCCCCTACATTCCTGGATCCAGTAAGTGCTTGAATTTAATCAAGCGTCCTGAACTCCTGGATTCAGCAAGGGTTGAAATACAAGCCAGGCTAGTTTCCTGATGAGATAATTGCCTGGGATGGTGAGCCATTAAGAAAACAAGGGAAAGGTGATATTAAGAAAGTAAGGAGAGGGGGGCTTTGTGCCAATGGTATATGAGTTGGTTCCCCTTCTATAGCTCTTAGATAGTTAGGACAAAGTCAGATTTGAGTTCCCTATGAGGGAAAGATGGCAGGATGGAAAAGGCAGAGGCAGAGCACAATGCTTGATTTCTGTTTGAATCCAGGGCTGCAGCTATGGGAGAAACAATACTCTTCTAGGCTGTGAACCCCTCCATTCTAGGCTCAGGTTGTGTATATATGTAAATAAACCACATATCATAAAGGCACCACAGTCTCTGCTGTGCCTCATTTCCAAATGGAAACATGAATCCTGAATAAGGCACCCGGAACCCCCTGGAATCTTGCACTGCTTGGAGATTTGGGGTGGTGTGTGACAATATTTAATAGGTAATAAACAACACCTTAAACTGAGCTGGGAAATGCATTGGAAGCCATTCTTAGGCATAAGATACATTACACGTTAAAACTACATTACATGACATGGTAGAACTCCTAGAGGAGGACTGTTTTTAGCAGTAGAGTACATGGTTTGAATGTAGACGATTCCTGATTCAATCTTTGGCATCTCCAGTTAAACAGGATAGGTAGTAGAATGGTAAATACATTTTCCTGAGACTATGGAGAGCCACTGGGCTCGATGGATAATTAGTTTGGCCATTTTTCTAGGCCACATATTTCAGCTTCTAGAATTATGTCGGCAGACTCTACATACCTCCGTTAATAGTTATCCCAAGGATTTATCTAGTGATTAAACAAAGGGATTTTGATGAGTGATGCTCATCCGTTCTAGGGCCTGTGGTAAATCAATAGGTTAAATGAATCTGGAACTAAAATAATACCAAAGCTCTAAAGTCTAATTTTCAGTGGATACCCTCCCCCACAGCTGAAAAAACATCTTCATGCAAAGTTAGCATGAATGCAAATAGCTTGTCATTTAAAATACTTATCTTTCTACGACTAGGCAGCAAGAAAGATTGCTTCCTTTTATTCTGAGCAACAGGACAATAGCACCGTACACATCAATAGTAGCAAGTGCTACTGATGAGTAATATGGTAATTGAGGGGTTTTAATTTCCTGAAGGCAGTCACCACCTCCTTCCAAATTCATAAAAAATGAATGGCAAGGGCAGTTTGGTGTGGTTGGCAGCGCATGAAATGTTATAAAACTGATGTAATTGCAAAGCAAGTGATAAAACTGTCTCGCACAATAAAATACTTTGTATACTTTCAGGTTCAGATGTTGTGATATGCATCAGTCGCTAGCGCTTGGCGTTATTGCTTCTCGGCATCTGTTTGACCTATCAGTGTCACCGACGCTCTCTAAGCTCCAGTATCAAACAGCCCTTTTTGTGTTTGTGTGTGTTCTGTCTGTCCTATTGGTTCATTCCCTACAACTTCCCAGCTAACTCTGCAGCTGGCTGTGTCTACCTTTTTCAAATGGTGCCTTGGATCCCCTCAGTGGGCTCAAGGAATCCTATGTGTTGATAGAGGCCTAGCTCAGAGGGTGGGTGAAAAGACGACTTTATGAAAGAGGGTGGCTTCAGTGCAATGTGAAGGACCATGGCTGTGTTCACACTACTGTGCACTCACTGCAATTCCATTGCTAGATTTATCTTAAATGCATTATGTATCCTGTCCTTTCTTATAAAATACTTACGCTTGATCTTGTTTCTCAAACTAGCTTCAGTCCTGGTGGAGATGGAAACTTTCCCCCTGCTTTTTTGCTTTTCTGCTACAACTCTACCCTTCCCCAGAAGCTGATTTCCTGCCCTGATGGTTTCCAGGTATGTGTTGCAAAAGAGATAAATACTGTACACATCTGAAACCCTAAGGCAGTGGCTGAAAGAAGAGTTAAGCATCCATCTCCCTGGCTATTTCTTTGTTGAAAATGGCCACTGGTGCTATTTTATCCCAGGAGAAGCAGCCATTGTGATTTTTAATGCATGCATTTGCTTATCATGTGGGGTTTATCTCACATATATATGTGTCTATATTTTGAACCAATGTTCAGAGAAAATGTACTTTGCTAGTCCTTGGACCTACACTTCATTTTTTGACACGTGATACCACCATTTACACTCTAGGCACAAAGGATGAATAAATTCACAATACAGACCTGTTGCATTAAATAAAATGATGTCAAACGCTAGGGACAGAAAATTGAATGCAGAAAAATGAATGTTTTGGAAACTGTCAAGTATTATAGTTATTAAATAAGATGGTTTGGCCCTTTGTAGTTTCCTCTTATTGTAAAGGTTTGTGACGAATAACAAAAATTAAGAACACATGCCTTTTATGATGTGGATGTCTGGAATGGAGTGCTGACATCAAATCCCGGTGCCTAAGTGTCTGAGTGTTAACAACACTTAATAGAAAGGTTAGTAAACAAAAAACTTTTGATGCGGTGGGGAAATCTTCTGGTAAGTCCCCACTACACATAAGTATCTAATAATCCCACTACACAAAGTACGGTAGTTAAAGCAAACATCTTAGTTTGAATCAGTTTGGTCAAATTGACTACAATGGGGCTGAGACAGTTTAAATTCAAGAGCATTTGCTGAAGTCAACTGAGCCACATGTTAACATTTTAATAAAGTTTCATGTGCCTGATGAACATCAGGCCTATACTTAGGGCATTTGGCATGGATCAAGAGACACAGACCATTGTGTTTCAACTCACTGTATGAAATTCAACTGTGATCAGGAGTCTTTTTGAAGAAGAAACAGACTTATTTTTATTAGGAAATAAGTCCCACTGATTTATCTAAGAAAAGTAGCACCACTTAAATTACTTTTATAGTTCAAATATGTGGGTACTTAATTGCTGGTTGCCAGGGGAAAACCCGAAAACAAATCAGTCATACAACCTGATCCTGTGCATGTCTACTTGGAAGAAAGTACCACTGATTTCAATGGGACACACTTCCAATTAAGTGTGCATAACATTGTGCCCTAAAAACTGCAATCCCACCTACATTTGCTTGGGAGTAAGCCCCATTAAACTGAGTGATACTTAATTTTGAACAAATATGCTTAGGATTGTTCAGTACAACTGAGGGAGGAAATATGGAACGCATAACAGTTTTCTATGATGCAAAATAACTCGGAGGCAGAAGATGATTTCAACTTTGTCACTACATTGACAGGATTATTAACATGTCAGTTTGAACAGAAAACAGGAGGTCGATATTTTTTCTAAGCCTTTTCATTGACTTTCTACAAAGCTTCCAGCTAAAATTTAGGAGAAGGTTGCCATAATGCACTAGGTTTAGAGTTGTCATGTCAGCTGGGAAGGAAATGTTTGGGATTTTCATGGAAATATCAAAGGAGAATTCTGTCACTGTCAAGAGGATGCCACCAGCACGATGACAGGCAAGAGTACATAGGGAACAGTGACTGTCTATCAACAACTGCTTAGCCATGACAAATGAAGAGAATTTTCATGCTCACTACAAATGTACCACTTGCTCAGGTACGAACTACAATTTAGGAACTGTTCAGGGCTTGGTGTTGTTGATGGATGCACAGGTGGTGCTGGTGGCAAGCAGGGATGCCAACAGAATTTCTTGGGCCCTGTAAAATGTATGTGGTTTTGGCCCCCTGCATCTCTCACCTCCTCCCCCTTGCAATCTATTGGCAAGAACTGCTGCTTGCATATCTAAACTTAGACTAACCCACATCGCAGGGCTGTTGAAAAGATAAAAAGTGAAAAGACAATAAACATAACCTTGAGTTCCAGGGAGAATCACCAAGGTACAGTGGTACCTCAGGTTACATACGCTTCAGGTTACAGACTCCGCTAACCCAGAAATAGTGCTTCAGGTTAAGAACTTTGCTTCAGGATGAGAACAGAAATTGCGCGGCGGAGGTGCAGCAGCAGCAGGAGGCCCCATTAGCTAAAGTGGTGCTTCAGGTTAAGAACAGTTTCAGGTAAAGAATGGACCTCTGGAACAAATTAAGTACTTAACCTGAGGTACCACTGTATATCTATATAATATCATTTCAAACATTTAAATAAATAAATACACACAATAAATTCAGAAAAGCAGCCCACCCTTTAACTGCAATGTTTCATAGTTCTGATGTTTATGGCGAAAGGCCAAGACAAAAAAATAGAGAAAGAAAATGCCAACCCTGATAAATATCAACAAGCAAAAAAAATACTCCAAGTATTTACAGGTTCACAACTTTGAATTACCAACTCTACATCTACCCCATCTCACAGGGCTGTTCTGAAGATAAAGTTGGGGGAGGGGAGGCCAATGACTGCAGACTT